TTGAGTAAAGGACGGAACACCTTCGTACTTATTTCTTAATTATTGTTCATTGAACGGGAGTTGGTTTGTTCCCCTTGAAAAGTCAACTAATTAATTTCCGATCATGGCTTTAAGTGAGCTTTAATTTTACTGCTTTTTTAATTACTTGCTTTTAATTTAATTACTCGCTTTTAATTTAATTTCTTTTTACAATTGAAATTTACAATTGAAATAATTCACTTGGCGCACTTCTTAATATATGGCAACCAATTTTCCCTTACCTTCCATTATGGCGGAGCGGAAAAAAGGCACCTCGTTCCTACCTTTTTACATTGTGCATGAGCGGAAAAAAGGTCACTTCGTTCTTACTTTCAAATAATTTAGCAAAGTGTCTAAACCAAATTTGATGTTTTATCGCTAACGCTACGTGGAGCGTTTAATACGCTACGTGGAGAGTTATGCTTATTACATTTTATTACATTTTATTTATGATTTAATTCAAGTCCCTGTTAAACATTTTTAACAATTTACATTCAGGTTCTTTAAAACAATTTTCAGAATTAAACTTACTAACTATGGATTCACTCTTTTTAGATAATTCTACTAAAATTAATCTTAGAAGATAAAATAATCAATATTTTTTTAGTAAATAAATTATTATTAACTTACTTTGCAGCTATTGCGCAAGTAGTAGAATAACTCGATTTCGCACAAAGTGAATTTAAGATCATAGAACATTGTTCTAATATAGGTATTTTGACACAAAATCGGACTTTTTCTGAAATAACATACCAATTTTTTTCCATGTTTCCAAGTTTTATAAAAATCTCACGAGTAGTGTTTAAAAAATTAGCTCTCATATTTTTAGCTCCTCAATGTTAATTGAGTTTGGTATATATATTTATTAATTTCTCTTTTTTTATTAAACTTATTTGATTCTTCCTTTAACATTTCGAAATTCAGTTTCGTTCCAAAAAAAAAAGCACCTATTTTTTATGATTTATTTTTTAAATTTGTATTTTTGAGTAATTTTTATAAATTTTTCAAAAAAAAATTTGAATTATAATCTATAAAAATTTTACCATGATCTTAAAGTAGACGTATTTCTAATCATACCTGCAAAAAATTAGTTTTTTATTTAAAATTTCCGAAGATATACGTGAACTTCTATATTGACGCGTTTTGAAATTTGTCATATTTGTTGAAAGCGATAAAACATCAAATTTGGTTTAGACACTTTGCTAAATTATTTGAAAGTAAGAACGAAGTGACTTTTTTCCCGCTCATGCACAATGTAAAAAGGTAGGAACGAGGTGCCTTTTTTTCCGCTCCGCCATAATGGAAGGTAAGGGAAAATTGGTTGCCATATATTAAGAAGTGCGCCAAGTGAATTATTCTTGGGGCAAACTGAAAAAATTACACCAAGATAATTTTTTTAACTTCTCTGTAAATTTCTCACCAAATTTTGCAAAATTTAATATCTAGGCATAATTTTAGTCGTAGAATCGAAATATGGAAAAAATTTGTATGTTATTTCAGAAAAAGTCCGATTTTGTGTCAAAATACCCTTAACTGTTGCTTTCGAGACATGAAAAACGCAATTTAAATTTTGCCAATCGGCCCAGTAGAACGGGAGATATAGAACTGTCCCCTCCGTCTTTTTTTTTTTTTTTTTTTTTTTTTTTTTTTTTCGGCAGTGTACATTCTGTGCGAAACTCGGCTCCAGGGTTAAAAATAAAATATGCTTAAAACTAAATTAATTTTACGGAAATCCACAACAGAATAAGATTGCGAAATTGTTCAGCAAATTTCCTGGAATTGCACAACACAAGAAAACGGATAAATAGTATTTTGTTTTGTGAGGCTGATGAAAGACAGACGTCGTCTGGGCATTAATCTCTCGAAATATCTCTTGCCAACTTTTTTCTTCCTTTTCCTTAAAACTGTCGCGTCTCGGCGATGTCAATACACGAACAATAAAACAAATATAAAAAATTGCAAACCAAGCATAAATAGAGAGATGGCCAGAGATTTGATTTTATAAATACATTCAAATAAGTTGGCCGTATAGATTGTTTTCTTTTCCATAATAAACCATGCGCATTTGTGTTTGATAGCGTGACCGATAGCGCCATTCGTGTTTGAAATATATTAAAGCAACTAAGCAGTATGTATGACTGGCCTGAAAAAGAGGAAGCACTAAAATGATGCTGAAATAGTTGTTGAAAAAGTGCAGTGATTGCCGAAATATCGTGTTTTGAAAAGCGAAATGATTTTATATCATTTCTAGAATCTATTCCACGTTTGGAGCTGACTGGCTTCAATCGCTTTTGTTATCTGATAAAACAAAACCATTTTGTGTTTTGATTTTGAACCTATAAATAGTGCATAAATTTTGAACCCATAATAACCAAAACCAATTCCATTTTTGTGTACTTCTTTTATTTTTCAAAATTAAGATTATCAGAATTCTGTTTTAATCTAAAATACTCTCTTTCATTCTCTCTTTAGTTCTTCAATAGTTCAGTGGCATTTTGTTCTACCAGGGTTTTCTGAACGTCTCCGTTGAGCTCTACCGATCTTCCAAGGAGACGCTCATCTTCTAGGCTGTAGTTTCTGGATCGTGATTTCTGGAACTACGGTTGACATTGATTTGCGATTATTGTTCGATTCCCATATTCATATTCCTGCACTAACATTCCTATTAATAATTTATTTATTTATTTAATTCGTAAAGCAAAATATGCCAAATATGCTCCTTTGTCATTAAGCTTTGAAAACATAACTCTTAAAATTGAACTGCAGTCTTCAAAACTTCTATTAAGAACTACGTAAAATTGGTACCTGCTTTTAGAGGAGGTTGATAGACGTTGCTTGTTTATCCCGTTCTCGTTCATTTGGAAAAAAACCATTATTTATGGGATGACCCATATAATGTTCTGCTACTGAAACGTGGTCGACGTATTTTCATTCGTAGGATTGGCGGCTTACATTCATACAGTCAATGGTAGTGGCACACATTCACAGCATTGACCCAGCGAATCGACACTGACACAGGATAAACACCGACATATAACAGTTATTGGAATACTTTAAAATGTCTTTGATACTTTCAACTTTAAATACATTATCTCATAATTGCATTCACATTTTATGAGTAGATGGCGCCAGTGAATTTTCAAAGCTCGAGCAAACTCTGGTTGAAAACAAATATATTGATAGTCATAAATAATAAGCGTAGAATGAATTAATGAAGCTGAGAAGTAACTAAGTAAATGTAAATTAAGATTTCACGTAGCTTTATTTGTTTCTTGTTTTATATTTTCTTTCCAAGAAACTTATCATCTGGGACCTCGAAAAACAACATTTTTGAAATTCTGGAAAAATGGCCATTCATCTTTAGATGTCGGTACTTTTTTATTGTTGTTATTGTGATCAATCTTCCTTGTTTAACATCAGAACAAGCCCACAAAGCTCATCGCGGCAAGAAGTCATGCCTGCCATTGGGAACAGCTTTGGACACCATTATAGGACCAAGGCGTTATGTTATGGAGTACCTTTGCAAATTAATGCAATAACCTCCATATCTTCGTTATTAAATATGAAATGGTTCAGAAAAAGCATACGCTAAGGTGAAAGGAAAGAGGTTGGTTTATTTAATTATGGCAAAGCACACTAGGGCTATCTGCCTAAGACGAGGGATGCCTTCATGGAAGACTTTCTAAGAGAAACTGGCTCATATACACGTTACACATGCGGAAAACCACAAAAACGCCCGTGCAGCCAGCCCGTTCGCGGGATTCGAACCTCGGACCGAACTACCAGAGTTCAGCGACTTTACCGCTCGGTCTCTGGTGGGCTCCAAACATTTTATTAGAAACTTAGAAAGGAAAGAGAGCCGATGGGCTAAGGAAGAGATCGATAATATAGTCCTCCATAGCGGACAAAAAAAAAAAAATTGTTTACCTGTTGTTAGCCACAGCGCGGAGCGCAAAGACTCCCCCCCCCCGGAGTGGCTTAACACAGGTAGAAGAAAGCTAAGGGGGAAAGGCAACCCTCATTATAGGTGGTGACAGTACGAATTTGTTCAGTTCCATAGGGCTCTTCCCTTACCACCAATCCACACAAGAGGACTTTCGGCTCGCTGTATATTTAGAGTCCCCCATGCCCCCAAAATACTATATATATTCAAACATCCATACCTTCTTCAGGATTCGAAACCGGGCCCTTCGTTACGTTAATTAGAATCACTAACCACTATCCTGTTTGGGACGATTCGGTACTTTATCTGTCTATCTGCATTATATTTTTATTATACCATTATATTTTTTTACTTAAGCAGATTGATGTATATTTTTTCTAGAAATATTCTGAATTCAGAGCTGAAAGACCAACATTTTAGAACTTTTTACGTAATTAAATATTCGTTGTGAAATTAATTGTACGCTATTATAGTGGTAGAATGAGAAAAGCAAATAAACTAATCTGCAACTCATATCCTTGTCAAAAAAAATGCTTTTCTTCCTGTCTGAACCTATTCATAAAGCAAATAAAAATAACATGTTATAGAAAGTGTACTCTATTTGTGGCTTTCCACGTGGTAAATCTACGTACCACAATTCGATCTTTTTTTGATAAATCTATTACCGCATTACACACGGAATTTTCAGGCGTGGTGACTGGTCTAAGTTTTCGAAACGTTAACAAAAAAGGATTTTGACCTATGCTATATCTGAATTAGCAGAACCAGACAGCATTTTTTTTTCTCAATTGCACGCGTCCGCCTATATACCATACATGTAGCAACACACGCATTCTAGGTTCAGAAAAGGGGGGAAAGAGAAAAACCCATTGTGCTCCGAACAAATAGGAAGATTTTTTTTTCCTTCTGTCTGTGCCGCTATTTGGTTGCTTTATTTATTTTCCTCTTTTTATCGCTTCTATTTTTTTCCCCATTTTCGTGCAGGCAGAGAGAAACTGTTTGGGTGCAGACGCCGTAAAATCAAGTGCACGGATATTTAGTCAGCTTGTCCGGGCATATTAGGTTTTCAAATTAGTCTACAGGAGATTTACCGCCATCACTTGTTGCTTGGTATGTATCTTCTTGTTTCTGTAGTGTGACTGTTGATTGAGATATATCTTCCTCACCGAAAGCAATACCTTTGAGTTGTGTTGTAGTAGTAGATCTGCTAATTTAATGATTATTTTCTGTAGCAGTAGTTTAAGAGGAAAATATTCTGGTTTATTATTTGCTATCGCTTAAGGATTTAGTTTGCGATACATGGGAATTATCTCTGTCTATGCTTAACTTCTGTAATAACATGTTTATTGGTCTGCATGAACATAATAAGGAAGTAAATTATCGTATATTATTAAATAAAAATTTTGACCTTTTTTATTATGGTGTAACACCTACCAAATAATTTTCTAAGCAAAGATATATACGTTAAAGTTGCACCTAGCCCACCATTAAATTAAATATGTTGTTCGTGTCTATGAAAGCGTTTTTGAGTTTCAGAGCAAGTTTTATTATTATTATTGCGTCCTTGCACATAATGGTGCAAAGCAGGTATTGATAATTAAAAGTTTTTAAAATGGGTCATATATTCATTCATTGTTTATAGAAATAACTCTTCTAAGAATTACATTTCTTCTGTTCAGAAAACTTTTACCGTAGTCGTGAGCTGATGACGAGAACATACTTTCTTGCTGGAAGTGGCAGGTTATAACTTATGTCTGTCTAGAAATAACTGTTTGATGTTTTTTTTTTTTTTTTTTTTTCTATAATGGAAAATATTCGATAATTTCAAATGTCAAATATGCAATCTGTCAAACTGATAAAAAACAGTTTTTATTTAATTTTTTTAGATTATTTGAATCAAAGTAAAACGCACAAAAAGGATTTTATGCAGCTATGTTTTATTTCTAAGAATTAAAATTAAATGCTAACTATGCCTCGAAAGTCTGAACTAAGCTTGAAAGTGCTGAAATCGTCTAGAATGGCAAAGCAATTAATTCTTCAGGAAATATAAGCTCTTCGAACAGCCGGTGGGCATTACATATGCTCGAACAGCCGGTGGGAATATGTAATGCCCACCGGGCTCAAGCACAGCTGCCAAACAAATAAATTAGCTTCAACTCATTCAGTATATTCAAGATAAACACTGAAAATTCTCCTTGTTGAAAAATGGTGGACCCTTGTTGGATCAATAATAGTTAATCTGAGTTAAATTATTAAGACCTTCTTTTTGTATCTACCAACACATTTATTTAAACCACAACAGGGGATATTGGTTTCAATCCTCAACCTTTTGTAGTCTCATTTTTGCGATGTATCACATTTCATATAAAAAGGTCGATTCAAAAGTGCACCACCCTTGTGATGTAGAATAGCCAGTGGAATCAATATCGCTGTAAATTTCTGTAAATATTTCCATTCTATTAATAATGCTTATTTTTGTAACACGTAGAACGCTTATAACTTGTTCTGCATTTGATAGAATGACCTCCCCTAATTTTGCACTTTTGTTTACACCGTATTTCCCCGACCTCACTGCGATGCACTTCTGATTATGGAGTTATCTGAAATCTAAGATATACACATCAAATCCACGAAATTTGTAAGAGTAGAAAGAGGCCATTAAACGTGAAGTTATACAGATTCCTACCGCGATGTTACTACCTTCGTGATTGTTATCAAGAATCTCAATGCAATACGTTATCGTCTGCGAAGATAAACATTTTGAAAACTTATAAAACATTTTTTCCTTCTGTTCTCTTGTGTTGTCATCGGTCCTTTACAGTTATCTCTTCTTTCCAAATATTTTACGCCGGCAGTTTTGGTCATGAATGCATCGTTCCAACGCCATTTACGGTTTTTGAATGCGCTAATCAATTTGCGTAGAAAAAACGTGAGTGTTGCCATTCGAATATTTCGAATTTTTTTTACTTCAGCCGTAATTATGAGAGCTCTATTGATTTAAATCAACTGAGCTGATAGACCGCTGTAGAGGTTCATATATCGAGGAAGTTTTTTTAAGCCCACCTTGTATATATACAGCTACATAGATAGCTATACATTTGAGCCCAAAATTAAGAGAATTTGCAGATTTATTAAGAAAGTATTATTATTAATATTATTACGAAATGTATTAAAAGCAAAGGTATTAATTATGCCGCCGAAGAATTACGCAAGTATTCAGAGTCGAAAACGTAAACATACACGTCCGTGTCTGCGGAGCTTTGAGTGTGGAGAGGATATAAGCGCATAAGGGATTTTCGGCGATTTGTGTGCTTGTACTCTTTTACGACATTCATCGTGTTTCTAGCAAGAATTGGGTAATTTTTATAAGGTATCAGGTAAAATGAGTAGCCACGGTCTAGTTAACGAAATGAGATGGAGAAATGTCGGTAAATTGTAGACAGACTAATCACAAGGTCAGATGGCTGCAAAGCTCAACGCAACGCCCAGTGTCGTGTGCAGTTTGTGGAAACAGTTTCACGACACTAGATACGTATCGAGAAGACCTGAATAAGCTCGACCAAGATTCACAATAGCGAAGGATGATCGTTATTTGGCACTTTCAGCTTGGCGACGCAGTATTGCTAAAGTTTCACAACTCTCACGTCAGTTGTATGCTGCCACTGGAACTCGAATCTCACGGCAGTTGGCCGAAGCCTTCGAGAGATAGGGCTGTATTCCAAAAAGACTCGCTGTTTGCGTCCCAATTACTGCAGCACATAAAAGAGCGCGTTTAGCATGGTGCAGAAAATATATGCCTTGGACCAGACTTCATTGGAGCAAAGGGCCTTTTAACAGATGAGTCGAGATGCAACTTGGGCATTGACTCTCCGCGTATCTGGAGAGAGTCTAAAATACGATACTGTCCTTCCCTCATCGGAGAAAAGGATCAGTACGTTGGAGAAGGTTTAGTGGTTCGGACACGCATAATGATTTGTTAGGCGTAATGTTGGAGGGTCGCACACCCCTGTAATGTGTTTGACAAAGGCTTTCTGACTACTATGAGGTATAGAGAGGATATCTTCTGGGAAATGAGGATATTTACTGCATGGTTTGGTCAGCCATATCTTTTGACCTTAATCCTATTGAGCACGTCTGGGACGTTCTTGAGAGCGCAATTTAATCTCGCCATCCCACTCCGAGAACTGTCCAAGAGTTGAAAATTACCTTTCAGCAAGAATGGGATCGAGTGCAAAACGGAATCCTCAGCTGCCTCCTTAGTACGCTCTGCGTGACCTGTCTGGCTGTGAAAGGGAACCATACCCGATATTGGAATTATTTTCAGTTCGATATCACAGCCTGGATATTGGTCAAATAAGCAACTATGCTCTATGAGCTCTACTGGTAATCATGCGCTTATAAAATAAATTTTGAATGCAGGCATTTTAGACGAAGAAGCAAAACGAGAAGCTACTAGCAAGATAGAAACTAGCAGAAGTGATGTAATTAGCTGCTAGGGATTTATACCAAGTTTGATATACAAGTACAGCTAATCTATGATTGATTAGTTAGTAGCGTTACATAAAGTAGAAAATATCGAATTTGGAAGAACAGATGAATTTCGGACGAGAGCACCAATTTTAGATTGTTAATTTAGAAGTGCCAATTATTTTTAAAATATCCATCGTATTTTGTCATATTTTACATATATATATTTTGTATATATAATGTGGTATGATCTATATATATACAGAATATATATATATATATATATATATATATAATATGTGCGTGTGTGTGTGTGTACATGTATATATGTATGTGTGTACATATATATGTATATGTTACCGTGAAAGACCGAGATTGGAGAATGTCGGCTTTCACCGGAAATTGTCAACATTCACCAACTTCATCTGTGAAAGATCGAATATTGCATTCGGACACAATGTACGGACATTGTACGGAATTCACATTCTTGTACATTCGGACCCTCACCAGTGTATGTCGACAATCACAGATATGCTATGGTGTAGGTCGAGAAGAGAAGTCATAAAGTTGTAGAGACATTAGGTATTTTTTGGAAGCAGACGAGATGAAAAATTAACAACCGCCTTCGCCGGGAATCGAACCACGGACCTCTGGAATACCAGCCCAGCGTGCAGAACCACTACACCTCGAAGGCACGCTAGGAAAGTGGGAGAAATACCTTATATACACTCCTTTTGAAAGGGCGACTGGGGTTTTCAGGGGACCCAGTCGCCAAATCCTGGGTGTGGAGAAACCTCATCCAACACCCTTTTAGTTCGGGCGCCACTGTACAGACATTAGGTATTTTTTGGAAACAGACGAGAGGAAAAATTAGCAACCGCTTTCGCCGGGAATCGAACCGCGGACCTCTGGAATACCGGCCCAGCGTGCAGGACCACTACACCACGAAGGCACGCTAGGAAAATGGGAGAAATACCTTATAAAGTATCATAATAGTTTAAGTTATTGCAATAAATAAGATTTGAATCACATAATTTAGTAAGTTTTTATTAATATTATTTTATTTTCTCATTTAGAACGTACTGTATAATTAAGTAAGTTTTTAACTTCTATTATTTTCCTTTCTCATTTTGAATGTATTGTGTGTTTTAAGTTCTTTTGTTCTTAAGTTCTTATTTTAAGTCTCAAGTGTGTTTTTTCGCCACTGAATTACGGAGAAAATATAATATTCTTATATGTTCAACATTCACCATTAGTACGTGGTGAATGTCGACGTTTACCAGTGTAATTCAGAAATAAGAGTATTTGGAAAATATTTCGGACATACACCAAGCGACTATGTGAATGTTGACATTCACCGGCGAAAGTCGACATTCTCCAGATTTCGGTGTTTCACCGTAACATATATATATATAGAGAGAGAGAGAATATATTAAGAATTTTGATTTTTTTACATTTAGAAACATTCTCAGAAGAAATCAACCATTACTTCTTTAGGTTTTTAAGCGTAATTTTTAGCTAACGATAACACATTGATGAGTAAAATATTGTTAAAGAAAGATTGTTCAAAATGTATTAAAACAACGTTTCTGTTTAAAAATTTAGTAACAGGTAATATTTTATCTATCATGTTGTCTTCGAAGTGTCAAAGCTTAAAAAATGAAATACAGGGAATCTCATATGCGACTTCTAAATCATAGCTTAATGCACCTAATGCATATGCTTTCTTTGCTTAGTTATGATAAAATGATGCTTTTAAATTTTAAGTAATTTCTTGAAATTGTTTGTTTTTTCTTTTAGGTATGCATTTTATGGATTATTTTTATTATAAATGTCAGGCGGAAGTTTTGAGCAGGTTGTTATGCTTTTTTAATTTTCCTGAAATCGCATTCCCCTGAAAAGAATCAACGTAAACTGGATGTAAATTTGGCAAAATATCTGGTAAGTAATTGAACAAATTTAATTTCCTTCAGCTTCTATAATTTTTGACAACGAAAGGAAACTGCATTATATGAATTTCTAAGCATGAAAGTTAGAAATATTTTTTTTTTAACTTTTTCGATGAGAATTGTAGGTCTAAGCTGAATAACTTATCAAAACAAGTGTATCATGAAGTTAAACTTATATCTGTATAGAAAATGTTAAAGAGGAAGTTTCATAAAAAATGTGACTACTTATTTTGTATCTTTTACTCCTCAGGATTTCACGTTTTTCTTACACCACGTGTATTTAAGACCTTTGTGTAGAATTGTTCATGAAAGCTAAATCTTATAATTCAGTGATTCGCATCCGTTATTTCTTTATCCCCTCTTTTCTCACCACATAAAGACAGACCCTCATTCTCAAATTTTTACTTCCTTTATAGTGGGTACCTAACAAAACTTATTACCGCTCAAGTAGAAAATCATGGAAAGTCAGAGAAATAAAAAATGCTGAAATAAAGTCCGTGAAACTATAAACTTTTTCCCGAAAGTCATTTGATATATAGAACTTTTCCAAAACATTAGAGGATATTTAAAACTTTTCCCAAAGAATCATGGGATACTTAGAACTTTTCCCCCAAAATCAGGGGAAATTTAGAACTTTTTCAGAAGTTCAACGGAAATTTAGGACTTTTCTAAAAAGTGATGGGATATTTAGAGCTTGGCCTTTTGGTCGAGAAAATTAACGAATTTTTTTCGAAAAATGAAAAGAATTTAGAACTTTTCACAAATTAGAGAAAATTAAAACTTTTTCCAAAAAGTCAGGAGAGATTAAAAAAAAGCACACGGATTAATCCTGTCTAATAATAAAAAGCTAATTTTTAAAACAGTAGCCTATTAGCATTCATTTTTGCAGTTTCAGGCTAACATCATCTTCATTTTTGCAGTTTCAGACTAACATCATCTTCATTTTTGCAATAGTTTCGTCTATCTCGAAAATATTTAAACCATTCGTATAAATGCACTTTAAAAATGCAGTTTCATTTCCATAAACTTATTTTAGTGTGATTTTATTTCGCGCACTCACCAAGGTTGAAAGAAAACCTGAAATTCCTTCTATGCTCCGTTTTATAGCTACTGATAGATTTAAAACATTCTTAATTATTTCATATTTTGTTGCAAATGCAGATAAGTATTCAGTTACTCATTACTTATCTCGATAAATATGCTTGTAAACTAACTAATGCTCGGTGACAAAATTATTCTATTTTATTACGTAAAATCGGAGAAATTAAAAATTTAATTTCTATGGGAAACCTCTTTTATAGCCTATTTCAATATTTCTGTATGCTATATAGGATGTCGAAAATTCTTTCTGTGTTAAATTATACGTAAAATTTGTAATAATGAAATATTTTTGAGAAAATATTTTTAAAAAAGCAGATAAACAAAATAGTTTTGAATAATATGTTGAAATATATGCAAAATAATAAAATGAAGTCCATAAGCTTTGCTAAAAATATACAAAGCTTTGCTAAAAATATACAAAGCTTTGCTAGATAATTGAATAAAAATAGATAAACTTGAATTTGAGGATTTTGCAGCACGTGACATGTGACGACCAGTAGGATTGCAGGATGAGATGGATAAAACAAAATCCATCAGCTTTGCCAGAAACACGTAATCAAAATCCTATCTTTGCAAGTAAAATGTTGAGTAAATGAAAGCTGTGTACTTAATCTTAAATAAAATAAATATTTACATCACCGCAGGCGTTTCACTGCATAAAAATGTAACCGCGAGTCTGGTAGGATTCGAACCTGGAATCTTCTGATCCGTAGTCAGACGCGTTATTCGTTGCGCCACAAGCCCGCAAGGTCACACTCAAGCTTTCGTGTTTCCGGTATTTAAGCTGAGGCTAGCTCATGGCGACATCTATTGGAAATGAATGGAAGTACAATGCAAGTTTCCGTCGAGGCCAGAACCTGAATCTCCTCCGTGTGAATGAAATGCTTTACCACCGTCACAAAAGAACTCCTTTTGTGGCTACTTCAAGAATTCAAACTCATCAAATTTCGCGAGTTTCTGAGTGGCTTTCGCGGACGCCGTAACCATTTCCATTCTATGTTAGTGAAAAATAAATACCAACCCTATAAACACTTGGCTTTATAAATCTCAGACTAAATTATTGTAATATATATGTGCCAGCCTGATGACTTAGTTGAAAAAGCTTAAGAAAGCGTCATTAAGTTAAATAAATATTTCTCAAATATACATAAAATAAACTTCAGTTGTGCCTTTCAACCGCGTATGTTCAAAACTGCATTATTTAAAAACGCATAGGATGCCGGCCTTCTCTATATAGTGATCGATTTCATCATATCGCGTGATCTGTGTAACAAATAGGGTATTTCAAAAAGGAGTGTATGATTTTCATGACAATCAAAAGTAAACAGTAATAGATGAGTTGATGTTTATTGCCGTGCAAATGTAGAATAATATTTCAAGTTTGAACAAAAAATAAATATTATCGCTTCTAGTAGTCTTTTACATGTAACTTAGAAGTTTGTTGTTGCTACACTCGGCAGAATATAATTGGCTAATTTCAATAATAGCGGCAGTAATTCCTGAAACTAGTTATCGATTATGGCAAACGTGCAAACTTTTATAAACCAATAAAATGTAAATAAGAAAATTGCAATATGGAAACTACAGGAAATATTCTACCACTTCAAAAAGGTTTACTCTAAAAAAATTTCAAAAGTATTTTTTAAATATTTCTTAAAACGTAAATCACATAAAACTTTTAAAAAATTATCTGTGCCATTTGTGTAACATGTGGCTTTAGAAACATCTTTCATTGGTTACAGCAAAGTTTCAAATATTCATCAAATAAAATTAGCGTAAACAGCTGAATTCTGCGAATCATTTTGAAGCCTAGAGGGAATAGGAGGACATGAAAAACTTAAAATATAACCATTAGAAATAATTAATGTAATTATTTCATGGTAATTACCCGCAGCTGTATGATTCTTTACTAAATTGTTAGCTGTAATTTTAAACAAATTATCACTTATTAATTTTAAGCAAATTATCACTTCGATTATCTTATATTCAGACAAAAGTATATTCACTTCTAAATGTTAATATAAGAAATGATGGTTACAAGGCACCGAAAAGACAAGTATTGGTTAAATGTTAAGATATTCGCTTACTGAAAATTTCCGACTAGAATATAGATATTTCTTTGTAAATATTTTGTTTCTCCTTTTCGTTCGTTCAAAACTAATTTGCTTTTCCTAGAGAGGATGGGCAAGCCTCAACGAAAAAAAAATAGGATAGGAAACAGATATTGTAACTCATTGAATAAAGTTACACATAACAACTGTTAGATCATAGATGTAATAAAACGACTCGATTTGCTGGGCAGTTGCATGAAGGATGTATGTACCAGAATTATCGATAACTTGAGAGAAAGCTGAAACAAAGCCAACATTTTGATGCTAGAATAACCTTGTTTCAGCTCTTCACTGTGTGGCTTGTTCTTTCTTTTATACGAGTGTGTAAGTCTTAAGAACATGAATGAAAATGAAACTTGAAAACATAAGAAATTATAATTTAACAAAAAAAAATTGTATATCATTTAAGTGTTGTTTAAGTGGTACTTCTTCATATGTAAAATATTTAATTTGAGTGTTCTGCGTATCACAAATAAAAGCTTAATTTTCCTGTACTTCAAGATTAAACACACATATTTCCACTGCATTAAGATAATTTACTGCTTTCAAAATTAAAAGAATTATTTCAGTTGCTTTGTAAAGTATAAAGTATTATCTACTAACTGAATTTATATCTTTACTAAAATATGTAGGCCCACAAAAGTCTAAAAGGCGAAATGCACCAAACACTGATTCATTCCCGGTTCTATTCTTAGCGTCTGACTGTGGTGCCAATGTGGAATTTTCGAGGTTGTATCCATGTGTGATGTGAAGAGAAGTCAGTATTCCTTGTAATTTCTTTCACGGAGGCATTTTTTTTTTCTTACACTAGTAACTCAGTAACAGCTGCTAAATGCATGTGTACTAATATAATCTATCTTATAACTACAATGACTCAAATAATTTTACGAAGGTTAAGCACAAATGAACAATAAATAGATATTTCGTTATGTCCGTGTTTGTTATATTATTGCGAATTATATTATAATTACTGCTGTTACACTGTTGTATTAATAAAAGAAATAGTAATCTTTATTTTTAAAAAATTATTATTTTCGTATTTACAGTGTTAGAATGTTTTTATATTTGCGTTTGTGTGTGTGTTTGTATATATATATAGAGAGAGAGAGAGAAAGAGAGAGAAAAGGGGTGATTTTATTAAAAAAATATAATAAACTATAAGTAGGTCTGAATATTTGAGAGATACTAAAATGTTGTTTTAAAGTAAAGATTTAGTTCAAATATAGCGGAGTCTCAACGGATTCAGCGGAACGAAACATGTATTCGGAACTAATTAATCATTTTGATGATTAATTAATCAACTTGGTTTAAGGCTTCAAAACACTTTCCCCTTGACAAGTTCTGTTTGAAGCATTAAGCAAAGCAGATTAGTACAATTATTATTTTATTTTGTCTTTTTTCAGTTTTATATATGTAATTGAAGTTTCTTTTCATTTTACATGTACTCCTTTTGTGTTACGACTTCCATTAAGAAAGAATTGGTTAGGGCTTCATAGGGAAGAAATTGTAATCTATTATTTAAGTTCCGACTTTTCTTTTTAATTTTATTATTTTCTATCTAGCAGCATTCGTGCAGATTCGTCTCAGCTTTTTCTAAAGAATTTAATTTTAAGTATTCTTTTTGAACTTTCTTAAGAGTATATCTATGGAGAGAGATAAACAGATAGATAGATATGAAATAATTTGACATGGAGATCCATAAAATAGTAGTTACAATGAAGATGTAAGCAGTTATGCGGATTTAGCATTTTTCCTCTTGAAAAATACATTCGTAACTTGA